TGCATATGGAAGTTTTAGCATTCCAGGCTGCATCCGGTGGTCTTCATACATGCCACTTGCATTCTGCTTTGACATCATTGCCCTTCATCAGTGGAATATAAAATAGCCCCCTGCTAATCTAAAGCTTCTCTTTGTTTGCCTATATTTTCCCTTTGGCTGTCAAGTTTCATCCATAATTTCTATTTGATTTCTTGTCCATATTTGTGTCATGAAGTAATAATGTTCCTAATAATTCAGGCTTCTGTGCCCTACAGGAAAACCATGTAATCAAACGACTACTCAAAAGAGCTGCAATTTATTAGGCCAAAATGAGTTTATACAGGTACCGGTACTTTTAATTTGGGGGTGGTCATAGCACCTTGTGTCTCCTGAGTTTAAAAAAATTCTCAGGTGACCCTATGTGCACCATGAAGGTATGAAGAATGAATAGTTCTTTATAAGTTAAAAATAAATCAAGGATATTTTTCTCCCTTTCCCAACTTACACACACACATACACCCCTGAGAAAGAACCCAAAATTTAAATGTTCAAGGTTTTCATGTGAGAAGACCTATTGTGTATTTTAATCCTTGTTCAATGCATAAAATCTACTTTTTCTCCATGATTATACGTTATCTTGCCTTAATGCCTTTTGTAACAAATGGATATAAATATATAGGGCAAATCAGTGAAGTTCGCATATAAAATTTTATATCCCTTGCTCCTCAGATAATATTTTTGATGAGTTATCATCCATTTAATAAGTTCTGGACTCTTTGTATTCCTTTGGGAAATGGCACAAGGCCTTTTTGAGTGTTAGATTATGCATTTGGATTTCTGATTTAGTGGAACAGTGTAAAAATCCCTCATAATCAGCACACTCCCTATTGGCTCCACATCTGAAGATCCCCAAGAGTGCTGTTTGTCCCAGGGAACATCTGGAATAGATTACATGCACTTAATTGGCTCCAGGTCGAGCTTGTTACAGACAGTAGCCTGCAGTATAACCTATGCAATTCACTAAATCCACCCACTTTAGGTTAAATCACACCTACTTCTCTCTATAATTCCTCCCAGATGCAGGACTCACACACACGTGCATACACAATACACACACACACACACACACACACACACACACACACACACACACACACGTGCACGCGCGCACGCACTGGAAGATAGCAAAATATCAATAGATTAGTGGAGATGTTGTTGGCAATACATTTAACCCATAAATTATCGCAATTAAAAGATTAACTATTGAATTCAAAGGTTTGTTGGGAAGAAAAACAAAGAATCAGGAGCAGCGGATTTTAGAGAGTGACTGTTTTATAGTAGAAAAATATTGAAAGTTTTAAAAAAGTTCCAGCAGGTTCGGGATTTTTGTTTTGTTTTGTCCCTCACCCTTCGCATATGTTTCAGCACGTGTAGGTACTTATCTGAATGTCATAGTAGCAAGGAAAGCAGTGCTTTGATTTTTGACTTATTTAACAATATTAATGAGTTGGGTTACAAGGAACAGTATGACTACTGTTCATTGAAAACCAAAACATCAATCTTCTTAACTTATAGTGTTGGAGGCACAGGGCATGTCATAGCGATTAATGACCAGTTGGAGGAGTAGATATCTCAATACATAGCCAAGGGCCATTAACCCCAACTGGCCATTAATTTCCAGGAAATGTCCTGTACTGAGGTCATTATTGCTAATAAAATGCACACATGGAAAGTTTCCTCTTTTTTTCTCTGTACATAAACATGCGTTCACATTATATGCATTGTTACACGTCATGAAAAAAAGTGGTATTTCACATGACCAGAGGTTCAGAAAACTAATGAGAAATTTAACCTAATGAGAAATTTAATATAGACTTAATCTCTACATTCAGTGTACCTTTCACTTTTTTATTCAGAGGGTGTGAGTAGGTGGAAGAATAAATGATTGTAGGTCAATGCTGTGGATCTGCTGCATTCAGACACCCATGTTCTGTTAACATGTGGATGTCGGGAAAAGTGAAAGGAACAGGCAAATGGGATTAGAGATACCTGATGGATATGGATGGAAGCAACACACACGACCTAATACCAAAACAGTGTGTGATAACAGCAAGGTTTGCGTCATAATATGACGCATTAGGTACTGAACAGGCATGAGGCATATTTAAGAGTTCGGTAAAGCTCCTCTTTAGTGTCTTTCTTTTCCACCCTACTGAATTATGCCACACTCTGCCTTCGCCTCATAGCAACCTAACCAAATCTATCATGCTCCTTGCTTTTCAGTAACCTTTAACTAGGTTTCACTGTTTTCTTGAACTGCCTCTTTTTGCTTTCCATTCTCCTTTATCTGTCCTCCATGAAACTATCCTTGTCTTCTTTAAACCTATGGGATACCCCTTTGAGCTGTCTTCCATAACATTCCCTTAAATATCTCAGTTTTAGGAATTATTTTGTGGTACTTTAATTATTTGTATATAATCAACTGTTCCTTTCAGAAAAAAAAAATCTTTTTTTCTCACTTGAATAAATGTTCGGTGTTTAGCTATAGTGTTAATGACTATTAAATACATATGAATACATATGTTTATATATAATATATAATATGTATTCATATATATTCTTATTTACATATATGCAGTATGTTTTTAAGGAGAAGCTGGAAGTCAAAGAATACCTCTGTTTTACTGGTGTAAATGTCAAATTGAAAAGTTTCAAGGATGCATATCTTAAGAGGTTAATTCAAAACTCACATACTTTAAAATTAATCCTGTTAAATTTTTCTGTAAATCAGATACAGTGACTGTTTTGTGGCAATAGCATAAACATGCTGTCCTGCTAGATTTAAAATAATGCAGTTCTTTATTTTTTAAGTGTGTGTTTTGAATGTTATATAAATAAGGACTTTATTAGTGTTTTATATTAAAATATGTGTTACTGAAATTTTTAAAACAAATTTTCATGAAGGGATATTTATGGTCATAAGTACATTCCTGTTTTCTCTTAAATTATATCTTATTAGTTGAAACCATCAAGAAATATCATATAAGTGTGAATAAAATATGTGATATGTAGCATACTTAGTACAATATTTTTAAATGAATGTCTAAATCAACTTGATTATTTGCATTTATAGCAACCATCTAAATCAAAGAATTAAATACGCATAGATTACACACAAGACAATAGTTTGGTACTTCCTATAGGTATCTTTGAAGGTAATTAAAGTAACAGAAATATAACTTATTAAGCATTCATGTTTAACATTCCATGAAAAAACAACAACATAAAGTTTGTTGTCTATCTTTCAAATGTTCATTCTGTATAAAAATAAGTTAATACATCCCTACATTTTATTGTATTTCCCTTTCCCAGATTGATTTTAACTTCTGAGGTTTAAAATAAATGGGACCTTGATATTCAAAGTCTGAAAGACATTTTAGTAAAGAGTTGATCTTCCATAAGAAAAATTTGCTTACTGGTATTAGGCCTTCTCTTAAAACTAAACTGTATAGACATAAGGTATTTATCTTGATGTTAAATAATTAGAAAAGTACTTAAAATATAATCTTTTTTTTAATGGCCAAAGCTATCACCAAGGAAGTACAGATATTATTGGGACAAAAGTTGTAGCAGGTATTACGTGTGGATTCCTCCCTGGAAGTAGGAATAGCAAATCCTTTTTATGGGCATTTCCTAGAAAAATAGCAGTAACTTTGTGGAGAAGGAAGAGAAGTTGAAGGGCTGCAACAAGAGTTGAAGATCACTTGATTCTGCCATAATGAAAGTCACCCAAAGACTTAGGGGTTTGGAAGTCTGCTTTTAGCTAAAGTCCAGAAAAAATGTTTTAATCTTATCTCTTTTGCCATGTGACCTTGGGCGAATTATTTAACTTGTTATCAGTTTCCTCATCTGTGAGATAATTATCTGTCTTTCTTGACTGTTGGCATTGATAAAAAAATGAAAGGAGGCATGTTAAAAATTTTAAGAGTTTATTTGAGCAAAAGTCAATTTGAATTGGGTGGCACCAAACCAGAAGTGGTTAGGAGCGGAGTCCGGGAAGACTTATAAGGAAAGTGGGAAAGCAACTAAAGGAACTTATTTGATTGGCTATAGCTTAAAGCCTAGTTGGCTCTTTGTGATTGGTCATCTTTAGCGTTTTGAGTTCATAACTTTGAGGTATTTACAGGCTTAGATTTTGGCCATCACATCGTTAGAACCACATCAGTCTAATGGCCTCTTTATTTAATAGCATGAAGTCATTTAATTTATGTAAAGCACTTTTTAAGAAATATCTGGTATATATATAAATGCTCAATGAATGTAATTTGGAATTATTATTATTATAAGGGTTAATTTGAAATATGTGAGTTTTGATTTATCCCAGATCTTAACAAAGACAATCAAGACAGCTTTTTTATGGCAACCTAGTTAATAACCTCCTCCTCCCTCTTGTAAACCCTTTTATTTTTCAGCTTGTTTTTCTATTCAGTGCTGCCCTGTGTAGAACAGTATAAGATGACCTGATCATATTCAGTTTTCCTAATTTTAGGTAGACTATTACAATATCTTTTAAGTCAGAAGCAAGAGAAGAATGCCCTCGAAATGATAGCTTTTATTTGTTTTTGTGTTTCTTTTCGGGGGCGGGGGGGGTGATAGGAGGAAACAATAGGCTTCTACCCATGTTTTGATCTGATCAAAGAATTCATCAAGTGACAGAAAAAATTTGTTCCTTTTATATTTGCATAAAAAGAAAAAAAACAGTTGAGGAGAGGAAGAGATGCTAACTAACTAACTAACATAAATCGTTGATTTTAAGTTAGGCACTTATCTCCACAACTGAGTAAGGCAGACGTGTAGTTTAGTATTCAGTTCTGACTCATTTCCCTAACAACAATTAGTAAGAGCAAAACGAGAGAAGGAGCAATATTGTTTAAAATCTATATACATTCATAAATTTATAATTTTGTAAGTCTAGGAAAATCTGCAAACTGCCATATTAATAGTTCTTTTCTTATTTTTAGATTAAGCTACCACTGTTTCAAAGAGAACATTGTTTTCATCATGAATACTAATAAAGATGAGAGACCAAAGCCCAGAAGCTACTATTTTTACCTTTTTCATGCCTCGATGGTGCTAAGCATGACCATGCTGTTTCTTCCGGTCATTGGAACTTCTAAGCAAAATATTCCACGACTCAAGCTAACCTACAAAGGTAAATATGTAAATGTTTTTCAGATTGTCTTTTTGATTATTGTATTTATTTTATTTAGAAATGCATACTGGCTTCATGGAAATGTTTATAGTATTGGCATCAGTTGATAAAAATAATTTTAGAGAACACAAAGCCCAATTTTTATTTTGTGAGGGAGATAGATGCCAAAACTGTTCATGTACATGTACTTTTCAACCCGTTATTTACAATGAGCACCTACTGATTTGCAAAATTAGGAAATTTTGGTCTGCAAGTTGTAATGAGTTTTGCATTTAAACTAATCTATAGAAATAGAAAATCATTAATCCCAAGTAGTTGCTACTAATTACTTTATCACTCAAGGGGATTTTTAAAAAAGATTTTTATTAAAAATATAGTAACCATATAATATTATATTAGTTTTAGGTATACACAATAGTTATTCAACATTCATATACCTGAACAAGTGGTCACCATGATAAGTCCAGCATCCATCTGACACCATACCACACAATCACAATATTATTGATTATATTCCTTATGTTGTACATTACATCCCCATGACTTAATTGTTTTATACTGGGAATTTGAACCACTTATGCCCTGCACCTCCCCCCTCATTTTTAATTTTACAGTTACAGTTGATATTTAATATTATTCTATATGAATTTCAGGTGTGCAGCATAATGGTTAGACTTTTATATAATTTAAGAAGTGATCCACCAGACTAGTCTAGTACCCACCTGGTACTATAAATAGTTATTACCATAATATTGACTATATTCCCTATGCTTTACTTTACATCCCCATGATTATTTTGTAACTACCAATTTGCACTTCCTAATTCCTTCACCTTTTCACATACCCTCTCAACCCCACTCCCATCTGGCAACCAGATGAGTCTTTCTGTTTTGTTTGTTTATTTTGTTCTCTAGATTCCACATATAAGTGAAATGACATTGTGTCTCTCTTTCTCTGTCTGACACACTCCACTCACAGCACCCTCCATCCAGGTCTGTTCATGCTGCTGCAGATGACAAGAACCCATTCCCTTTCCTGGCTGAGCAATATTCCATTGTATATATGTACCACCTACTCTTTATCCATTCATCCATTGATGGATACCTCTACATCTTGGTCATTGTGAACGATGCTGCAATGAACATATGGGTGCACATGTCCACTAAAAGTAGCATTTTGGGTTTCTTCGGATAAATACCAGGAAGTGGGAATACTGGGTCCTTCTTTGTTTCGTGTTATAGCCTTTGTTTTAAAGTCTATTTTGTCTGGTATTAGTATTGCTACCCCAGCTTTTTTTTTTCCTATTTTCATGAAATAACACTTTCCATCCCTTTACTTTCAGTCTGTGTATGTCTCTCAACCTGAAGTGAGTCTCTTGTAGGCAGCGTATGTAAGGGTCTTGTTTTCTTATCCATTTAGCCACCAAATGTTTTTGATTGGAGTATTTAATCCACTTACATGCAAGCAATTGTTGATAGATATGAGTTAGTGCCATTTTATTACATATATAATATATCTTTTATTTTATATATATATTTATATTTTATATACATTTTATTATATATATGTATCATATCTATCTATCTATCTATCTATATATATATATATTTTTCCCCCCATCTTAAAGAAGTCCCTCCAGCATCCCTTGTAATACTGTTTTGGTGGTGATGAACTCCTTTCTGGGTAGAGTACCGTTGGTTTTGGGTACTTGTTTTTCATCACTTTGAATATTTCCTGCAATTTCCTTCTGGCCAGCTAAGTTTCTGTTGAGAAATCAGCTGACAGTCTTATGGGGCTGCCTTATAAATTACTAGTTGCCTTTCTCTTGCTTCTTTTAGGATTCTCTCTTTGTCTTTAACCTTTGCCATTTTAATTATGTGTCTTGGTGTGGGCATGCTTGAGTTCATCTTGTTTGGGACTCTCTGAACTTCCTGGGCTTGTATGTCATTTTCTTCTCCAGGTTAGGAAAGTTTTCCTTTATCATTTCTTCAGATATGTTCTCAAGTCCTTGCTCTCTCTCTTCTCCTTCTGCTACCCCTAGGATGCAAATGTCATTACTCTTGATGTTGTTCCCAGAGGTCTCCTAAACAATCCTCATTTTTTTTTTATTCTTTTTGCTGTTCCAATTGGGTGTTTTCTGCTACCTTGTCTTGCAAATCCCTGATTTGATCCTCTGCCTCATCTAGTCAGCTGGTGATTCCTTCTAGTGCATTCTTCATTTCAGTTACTGTATTCTTCACTTCTGACCGGTTCTTTCTTATGGTTCTATGTCCTTCCTTATGCTTGCTATCTCTTTGTTGAAGTTCTCACTAAGTGCCTTGAGCATCCTTACAACTATTGTTTTGAACTCTGTATCTGGTAGGTTGCTTGCTTCCATTTTGTTTAGTTCTTTTTCTGGAGTTTAATCCTGTTCTTTCATTTGGGACATATTGTTTTGTTTCCTTGTTTGTATCATCTCTCTGTGTTTGTTTCCATATATTAGGTAGGCTGCTGTGTCTCCCAGTATTGCCAGGTGGCCTTATATAGTAGGTGTCCTGTGGGCCAGTGGCACAGTCTCCCTGGTCACATGAGCCATGCTCCAGGAGTGACCCTTGTGTGGGTTGTGTGTGCTCGCCTGTTATAGTTGAGCCTTGCTTGCTGTTGGCATGTCAGTGGGTGGGATTGACCCTCAGGCTGATTTGCTGTGGGGTTTGGCCATGTCCACAGATTATGGGCTGCTTTGCAAGGGGTTACCTCATGGAGCAGAATTTGCCCCAGGGACTCTGGTACCTGTTGAAACTGAAACTTTTTGTGTGCTGCTTGTGGGGTTAATTGGGTGGTGAGTGCTGTGGTCTGAATCCAACCTCCAAGTTGTGGTTCTGGGGCTTTTTGGGAGGTGTTCCAGTCTAGACCCAGGTCAGCCACTGCCTGTGACTGACTAGTTAGGGACTACCTGATGGATACTACAAAGCTATTTGTTGGTCACTGCCTCTGCTAGACCTGAAGGCACTTTGGAAAGGCTGTGAACCAAGGATGGCTGCTATTAGTACTGGGTCTGGGGTTGCTCCCCAGAATGCCAGGATATTCCAAGGCCCACTACTGGATGCCTTAAGGTTCAGCTGCTGATAAAGCCTCCTGTGGTCAGCCAGTTGAGTGAGGCAGGGTCTCAGTGAGTCAGCACAGTGGAGCAGCAGCACTCACCAGGCCAATCAGATTCAGATTTGGCCTGTAGGGACGGGCTCAACACAGGAAAGATGGCGCCCACCTGCCAGCTACAGGGAAGAAGGGCTCCACACAGGGCAAATGGGGACTGCTCCACCAGTCCTTGCCCCAAAGTTACACAACTCACTCTGTCCCTATATGTCTCAGATGCTGGCAGAGTAACTGTCTCTCTGCCAGAGCCCAGGGTGAGTGCCTACGCGGGACCTTTAAGAGGGTGTCTGGATTTCCCACAGCCTTCCATCCTACCTGTATGTCTCTTCTTCCAGACATCAGTACTTCGGGCTGGGGAGCCTGGTGTGGGTGGCTGGTGTCTCTCACTCTTTCATGGGGAACCACTGTGGCTGAGATAACCCTCCCAATTTTCATCTGCCACACGGAAGTTTGGAGCCTGCCTGTTTCATGCTTCTGCGCGTCCTACCAGTCTGAAGTGGCTGTTTCTTTATATCCCTAGTTACAAAAGTTCTGTTCACCCAGATGTCAGATGGTTGTCCAGGCTGATTGTTCTGTAATTTAGTTGTAATTTTGATGCGTTCATGGGATGAGGCAAGCACAGCCTTTATCTACTCCACCATCTTGGATCCCCTCTCAAGGGGATATTTTTTTTAAACAGTAAGGCGTCTTCAAAATAATTAACACAGTAAAATACCTTTAGCATCTCAAACAAATACGTGTTTTAGCATTATAAAAAGACAATATGAAAGTCTTAAATATAGAAATGAGAGAACTATTTAAGAAATTAAATCTGCTAATTGTTTCTAAATGTTAAAAATAATATAAAAACAAAGCTTATGAGTTATATTTATTCATCTTGTGTATATATATGCATAATATGTATTTGTATGTGTGTATGTATATATGTGTGTAATAGAGAGAGAGAGAGAGAGAGAGAGAGAGCGAGCGCCATTTTCACACTCAAATATTTATTTCTTTTGTTTTCTTTTCTATGATACGTTCTTGGCTTCTTTAATAGTTAAGTAATGAGAGGGATGTGGGAGACTCAGACTTCTTTATTCTGAACTTGGCATGTAAAATTATGCTAATAGCTTTGATATCCTCCGATCTTCAAGACAACATATTTTCAGCTCAAATTATATATTGATAATACAAGCAAATTTGATGTCAAATGCAAGTTGGAGTAGAATTAACATATTATACCCATTATACATTTTATATGTTGATTTTTGTTTGGAATTTATAACTCATGAATTAAGGCAACATACTATTTTTGAGGTTTTATATTTCCTATAATTTCTAGAACAGATAAAACTAATTTATGATTTAAAGAACTCAGAACATTGCCTTTGGGCCATTAAGGGGAGGATTGAGTGGAAAGGGATAAGAGAGGAAACTTTCTGAGATTATGGAAATGTTCTCTGTCTGGATAGAGATGTGGATCACCCAAGTATATGTATTTTTCACAACCCATCATATTGTACATGACATATTTGTTTATTTTCCTGTATTCAAAATTAAGAAAAGAACAGAAAACAAATATTAAAAATCAAACAAAAATATATAGAAAGTTTGAAAATGAAGAGAGTAAAGGAAAAATAAGGAATGTTGTCTAATTTCTATGATATAGTGAGTAACACAAGACTGTTGCATTGGTAAGTGTGAAGAATGCAGAATAAATCAGACTTGAAAGGAAACTTTAATAATAGTTAATAATCAGTAAACAGAGATTCATTAGAAGTAAAGCATTGGTATAAGTACTGTGTGTGAATTATGTCATTTTATCCTCATCACCACCCGGTGAGGAATTTTTATCATTCCCTTCCTATATATGAGGATACTGAGGT